GCAAACGCAGCTTCCAAACGCTGCGTCTGAGCTTCCAGACGCTGCTTCCGAGCTTCTAGACACTGCGTTCGAACACAAAATTCATGCAAGAATGCAGATTTTGCGTTTGGCTCGTTCAAACACGAGCTGAACAGATTCAAAACCGTTTTTCACGATCTGAGGGGATCACAACTCCACTCAGGAGTGATTTAAGGGGTAGTTACATCCCATAAGCCCTACAAATGAGCGATTTTAGGGACGGTTACACCCCCTAATCTCCTATAAGTAGCTAAAAAAGATCAGTTGAGTCCGGGGGGATCTTTTTAGATCTTTTGAACAATTTCGGATCTAGAGATCAGCAAAAGGCTGGCTTTTTGGGATCCAGAGAGATCTCTTTGGCAGATCAGATCTTGGCAATCTTTGGATCTTTTGGAGCTACTCTTGGAGCTTTCCTTTGGCTTGAAATTGATTTTGGTTAAACCAATTAACTCTTCCACAGAGTTATAACTCGCTCAGAGTTCCTTAACTCGTTAAGAGTTATTTTCAAACTTACCACACAAGTTATCCTCGACATCAATCAAGAGGATTCAACCGTGTTCCACGAGTTTAAACGTCGGATCGTCAACAAGAAGCAAACTTGACACGAGTTCGAGGGAGGCATCTCATCGCTACCGTGAAGAACCCACATTTAAACAAAGGGAAGGATCTCCGTCAATCTTTCTCTCTTTTGTAATTCGGGAAACTGATTGAGGGAATTGTAATTTCTTTTTCTAAGTTTGTTAGAGAGAGATTGCAAAGAAAGAATTGTAATTAATTCTTTTTCTGAGTCTGTCAGAGAGAATAATACAAATTCATTTTCTCATTTTTCTTCTTCAATTTTCCCACCAAACAACAACAACATAAGTCTACTATTTGGATTAAAACTCCATTGATCAGGCCCCAATAACGAAGGCTTTGTTTGGACACCATGATATATTTCTTGTTATGATTTGGTAAAGAAACACTGTTGTGTTTTCCCCTTAAAGTATTTTTAAAACACCATGTTGAGTGTTTTTGGTCAACACTAGTTTGATCCGTTATAACATTAATATTAAACATATTATTAATATATTATATGTTAATTTTAATAAAATATATTATAAATAAAATATTATAATATTTAGTTTACATTACTATAGTATAATAAATATTAAATATAACACAATATAATATTGTGTAATGTATTATAATATTATATTACACTTTAATGTGTTATATTATATTATAATTATTATGCATTATTTTTAAATAATAATATATTTAATTATTTTGTTATATAAATTTATTATTGTTATATATTATATAATATTTTAAAAAAAAAATATTTTTATTAATATAATATAATATAATTAATAATGTTAATATTATGTTATTACTAGTATATATTAATAAATTAATATATTATAAATATTTTAACATTATATAATATATTATAGTTTTAATATGTTAGGAGTTTATTAAAACCACTTAATAATTTATTAATATTTATGATATTAATAAATAATATTATATTATGAATATATTATTTTACATTAACATTTGTTAGCAACAAATTGGTCATAGTTATTAAAAATTATTTACTTTATATATACTATTATTTATTATGTAATATATTAATATTTTATATACAATTTGTATTTTGCTATACAGATATATTATTATAATATTATTATTTACTATTGTTTTATTATTAGATATGTTACTATTATATAATATTTTATAAATTATGATGCTATTACAATTTTTTATTTATTAAAAAATTAATAATTTATTGTGATTATAAATTGATGTAGTATATTATTATATTATTATTTATTATCAAATAAATGTTTTAGTATTTTTATCAGTTTTTATATTTTATTATTATGTTATCGTTATATACTATGTTATTAAACATGTTAAATACTAGTATTTAATATTATTACTAGTATATTTACTAATAAATAAATATATTATAAATATTTTAACATTATATAATATATTATAGTTTCTAATATGTTAGAGTTTATTAATAATACTTTAGTAATATATTAATAATTTGTGACATAACTAACTAAATATTATTATATTATGAATATATTATTTTTTACATTAACATTTCTTAGCAATAACTAGTTTTATTATAAATTATTTTTACTTTATAATATAGTATAGTTATTTATTATGTATAAAATAATATTTTACATATTATATTACATTTACTAACAAATATATTATTATAATATTATTATTCTATTATTGTTTTTATTATTAAAATTAATCACAATATTGTAATAATATATTATTATATCATAATTATATTTATTATTAATTATTATTTATTATACATATAAACATATTAAATACTAGTATTCAACGATAATACTAGTATTTAATATGTTACTAGTATATTATTAATAATTAATAATATTATAAAATATTTAAAATTATTTAATATATTATGTTTTCTAATATGTTAGAGTTTATTAATAATACTGTTCATAAATATATTAATAATTTATGATATAAATAAATATGTATTATATTATCAATTATTATTTTTACATTAACATTTCTTAGCAATAAATTATTTTAAATAATAAAAATTATTTTACTTTATAATATATTATATTATTTATTAAGTAATATAATTAATATTTTACATATTATATTATATTTACTATACAATATATTATTGTAATATTATTGTTTTATTATTAAATATGTTACTATTATGTGATATTTTATAATTATTAATTTATTACAGTTTATTTATTAAAATGTAATAATAATATAGTGATTATAATATTGTATAGTATATTATAATATCCTTATTATATTATTATTTGTTATATAACTTTTTAGAATTTTTATTACTTTATTTATATTTTATTATTATTTATTTTTACATAATACATTATCATCATATTAAATACTAGTATTTAATATGTTATTATATTATTATATAATAAGATATTATTATTATTATATTATTTAATACATATTACTAATATTAACTATATTATAGTATAGTATAATGTAATATAATATAATAATGATGTCGATAATAACTATATATTACTTACATTCAATATATTATGTTAGATGTTATATTAACACATCCTCAAACTCAAACCAAAATCACTAAACTTAAAACACCTAAAAGGTGTTTTGAAATAAGTATTGTGGTTTTGGTTTGGACATGATTTAGCTCAAAAAACACTATGGTTTTCTAACTCATGGTGTTTTATTTTTGGGCAAAACACCAGGAAAATAAGGAAAACACCATGTATCCAAACGAAGCCTAAGAAAGTCCATGTTCGGATATTTGGAGCTCATTCTTTTTCTAGTGGGACAATATTTTTGTATATGAATGGGATAATTTTATCCCAAGTGGTGAAATTGTCTCACTAGTGTTCCAAAAAACCAACAACACAAAAAGATATTATCATTGTTCCATTGTTCCAATGAATAACACTAAGAAATAGAATCCGTAAAATTATCCCATTATCCCACCTAATGTCCCAATGAATAACCCCCCTAATCAACATATGTGACATTGTAGTCCAAATTTAATCACCTATCGCATGTAGATGTTATCATGATTACCGTCTTAGCATAGTTAAAATTAAGCCTATTATTGCCTCTGTCAAAAATGCATTGACTAGTGAAACCAATTAGTGGTAGGTTGATAAATGTGTCCCTGCAGCCAAAAAACTGACCACGTTTATCGCGTCACATATAAGGCTCCCCCTACAACCAAAAAACCGAAGTATAATCTTTATCTTTTCATATCATCTCTTACATTCAAGTCTTTCATCTGATTTTTTTTCCCCTAAGAAAACATTGGCTTGAACATAAACTAGCCTTTAGTTCGGACCCGGTCCTTACACCGCTCTTTTTGTGGACGCTGTCTAAACCGTCAGTTGCCTATTTTATAACGTCTCGTTTGATATGCGGGATTGAGGTAGAATGAAATGATCATTCTTACTTCTCATTCCCTGATACAACACATACCTATTTTTTAGAAGTTAAAATAACCATTCACAGGAAATGACCATTCCCACTTTTTGTGGGAATAAACATTCCAAGTGAATTGATAAGGAATGATCATTCCCATTCAAATGAGAATCAAATTAGTTACGTAATTTTCAATTATACCCCTATTGATAATTTATCAAATGAGTTAATTTTGATATCTAAAACCGTGGATTGTGGATATCATTCTTTATATTATTTTTGGCCCTATGAAAAATGTGATACTCTTTTATTATTTTTCTTTAATTTTTTAAGACTAAGAAATAATGAGTATTGTTTAAAAAATATAAACAGAATATACACTTGAGAGATAATATGTGCATTAGTATAAAACATAGCTAGATTAATATAACCTACGCATAAATAAAATTGTTTAGTTATTATCATTAATGTTTATTTTTATCTTATTAAAAATCTATTTTGTTGTAAGGGTATTAATAGAAAATAAGATTTCATTCTCACTTGTGAACTAGTGATACCAAACATGAGAACGTGAATGAGATTTTCATTCTAGCTTCATTCTACAAACGCACCCAAACAAGAGAATGCGAATAACCATTCCATTCCGTTCCATTTTATTCTTCCATTTCATTCTTATTTGAGTTCATTCTCGCGTATGAAATGAGGCGTAAATGTCTTGAGTACAAACAAATCATATTATGCCCTATAGAACCATCAACTCATCTAAGTTGATATTGTAAGTCTTTTCGGAGTATAAGATCTATATTTTTTTAAAGGAATTGGAGTATAAGATTATAAAATTCATTGCTGTGCGTGAGGGGACAACTATATTTTGTAGTATATAAAAAGAGCGCCAGCCCGTCTAGCTCAGTTGGTAGAGCGCAAGGCTCTTAACCTTGTGGTCGTGGGTTCGAGCCCCACGGTGGGCGTCACAGTGTTTGGATTTTTTATTTTTTTACGCTCTCTGAGTTCAGATAATTCGCTTTTCACCCCTAAAAATCTCTCCAGCTTTTGTTTTAATTCCAAATTCGTTGGTTTCTTCTCCTCCTTCAACGATACCAAACCATTACCTTCCCCCTAAAAAGCTATTTTTAAAAAAAAAACCTCTTTTTTACTCTACGGTTTTTTAATGTCTCTACTTCTCAAATTTTCCCAAAACCCTAACTCGTGATGCTGTTCCCTCGAAAACCAAGAAAGATGAGAGAGCTCCTTCAAAATTTGTCCGGCGTCCCCCTCTCGGTCTCGCCGGAGCCAAATATTCCGGTGGTCTCCGGCGGTGGAGGATCGGGGTTCTTGTGGTGGCTGTTGGATTGCCACGGACTCCTCTTCAATCTCGCCCTGATCGTCCCCTCGACGATCTTCGTCGCGTTTTTAGCTTCTCAAGCGAGGAACAGCTTTGCAAGGCTCAGTTATGGGAGATCGTATGTTATGATTTCGTATTATGCGCTTCTGTGGGTTGGTAGCGTCCTCAACCTCTTATGGTGCTTTCTTCAGGTAACCAGTCCTTTTCTTGGTATTGCTTTGGTTTTTTGCTGGGATTAGGGTTTCATTAGGTTGGTTGAGTGGGATATGTTGATTTCATGTTCAATTTCTTGATATGTTCACTTTGTATAGAAATTACTGTATTTGTTTCATTAGGTTGATTGAGTGGCATATGTTGATTTCATGTTCAATTTCTTGATTTGTTCAGTTTGTAAAAGAATCACTGTATTTGACAGCGTAAGTATTAGAATCGTTGAATATTAGTTGTGGTATAATTTTGTTTTATTAGTTAGGGATAAAAATGTTATTTATATATTTGAATAGCATCACTTAAACCAATTGTACCACAAAATGAGCTGTAAAGGAAAGTTTTTTTATTACAAAAAAGGGAAAATTGCTTTTAGGTCCCAAAATCCAACTTTCAATGTGCCCCAGCCCCCCAACTTTCAACAATGTGCTGCAACTCCTTTTTTTTTTGAAAAAATTGTGTCCAGGCCCCTCTCCTCAAGTTTCAATGCAACCTCTTTAAAAATCCCGATTTTACCCCTCCCCTACACCCCCCTCCTCCTCCTCTGTTCCTCCTCTGCCGCTTCGTCCCGGCTCCCTCCCGCAGCTTCGCCTCCCTCTCGCCGCTCCGCGCCGCTAGCGTCTTCCCAAGCGCCGTAGCCTCCCTTCCCCGCTCGCCTCCTCCCTCCCCTGCCTCCCTCACGCGCTGCACCTACCCCTACACTCCCTCCTCCTCGCGTTCCGCCCCGCCCGTCGCGGCCTCCCTCCCTCGCTCTGGCCGCAACGCCTTCCCAAGCGCTGCCGCCTCCTTCCGCTCGGCCTACCTCTCTTCCACCGTCTCCCTCTCGACCGTGCAAAAACGGCTCCCTACACCTCCCTCCTACTCCTCTGGTCCCCCTCTGCCCCCTCCCTCGCTCCGTCGCTGGCGCCGACTCGAGGAACTTTGCGTGGCCGGCGATGATCATGATTATTATATTAACATGTTAACTCTTAGGGTTAACATGTTAATTCTTACGGTTAACATGTTAACTCTTAATAGTTAACATGTTATCTGTAAGAGTTAACATGTTAACCCTAAGACTTAACATCTGCTGGCATGAAAAAGAGGAGGGTAAAATTAGGATTTAAGCCAGCTGGCATGTCTAATGAGCTGATATGTCTAATCATCTGCTGGCATGAGCTGAAATCATGATGGAGGGGTCTGGACATAATTTTTTCAAAAACAAGGGGCTGCAGCTCATTTAAAAAATATGGGGAGTTGGAGCACATTGAAAGTTGGATTTTGGGGCCTAGAAGCAATTTTCCCCAAAAAAAAAGAAAAGATTTTTAAAGGTAGTTCTTAGGATGTCTACACAATGAACAAGAAGAAATCTGGCTGATCTTCAGGTAATTCCATATTGTCCTGAGTTTATAACTAGAATAAAAATCTCATTTTTATTATGTGACCTAAATTAGGGGTGTTGATAACAAAAAAATGGTGGTCCATAAAGAAGGAAATAGGGGTTTTAAGAGAGCGTCAGTTGCTATCTAGATTTTAGCAAATGACAGCGATGAGTCCAGGACTGTTAAGTTGGGGGGCTCAATGTCAGTAATGATCAAATATCTTATGATTAAAATCATTCCTTCTATGTTGTGGTCAACAAGATTGTCTTCCGCATACAATACAAAGGCTCTAGCTAGTAGAATTCAATTCAACTTTCCCAACAAGTTCCAGGTGTGAGCGGTAACCATGCTGTTTTTTCCTTCAAAATCGTTTTCAAAACACCATTTCATCATGTTTTTTTCTCCAAAACCTTTTCAAAACACCATGACTGTTTTCAAAACGTTATGATGAGTTTTTGGTTTGTGAACACTAGTTCCACCTCGACAACCATTGACTGCCTTGACCATTGACTGTCTCCCTCATCCGCGGTTGACTGTCGCCTTTGCCTGCCATCGATGACTAGCGACATATGTTCTCATTGCAGGAAGCACCTTAGCTATTTCACTATTATAGAAAAGTAAAATTAGATAAAATAGGGAAAAGAGAGAGAGAAGAGCATTCAAAATTATCATTACTACTCAAAAATTCTTCAAATTTAAAATTAGGGCAAAGTGAACTTGACACGAACTAGGGGAAAAACTCAATCCATCAAGAAAATCCAAATTAGGGCAAGATTTGCAATCAATTATTGCAAGATGAAAGAGACATTGATTCTAAGAGAAGAACGTAGGAGCAATGAGTGCGAGGAAGGCTTAAATGGTTCAAGAAAGAACAAGTATCTTAGGATAGAGATCTGAACAATGTTTTGGTCGTGGTGAGGATTCATGGTGGTGATGGCAGAATGTGGCAGTGATCATGAGATGGAGGCAGTGATGAGAGAAGGAGAAGATAGGATTTTCTTTAAGGCTGAGAATATGATTATGTTTTGGATATGAGCCGTCCTGCATCGCCCCGCCGAGGTGGGGATGGGGTGGGGTGGGTAGGTGGGTGTGGGGTGGGTTTAAACAAAAAACGAAGGACTCAAACCACGCCTAAAAGGAGTTCTGAGTTATCCGTTTTGTTTTGGACTGAAAGGCTTTTGCCCAAAAAAAAGGAAAAAAAAAGAAAAACAACTCAAGACCCAAATATGTTTCGTTTTAAAGTTTGGAATATAAAAAAGGAAACTCTAAAACAGAATCAGATACCAACACACCCTAAGGAAGCGCAATTTCAAGTCTACTTAGTTAAGTGAAACTAATTTAAAAGTTAATAAGCTAACTAAATTTAATGGTAGAAAGGCTCTAATATTAATTTAAAAGTGGAGGCAGCGTTTGGATACCATGGTGGTTTCATTGTGTACATGGTGTTTTTGCCAAAAACAAAACACCATACATTTAGAAACCATTGTGTTTTTTGAGCTAAAAACTACCCAAACAAAAAACACAACACTTATTTTAAAATACTTTTTAGATGTTTTGAGTTTGATGTTTTAGTTTTGACTTTAAGGTGGTGTTAATAAAATATCTAACATAATATATCATATATAACTAATATAATTTATTATCAACATGCTTATAATATAATATAATATAGTATAATATAATAGTTAATCTTATATATTGATAATATTTAATAAATAAAATAAAATAAAATAAAATGTATCAATAATTAAAATAAATTTTATAATAAAATAATAACATATTAAGTAGTAACATGTAGTATGTTGAATGTATTATATTATAATATAGTTAAAATAATAATATAATAAATAAAATTAGTTAAAATAATATAATAATAAA